ATTATACACCAATATAAACAGCTTTAGGGTCATTCCCTCGGCAGGGGATGCCCAGCTCCATCCAGGCTGAGCCTCCCGGTGTCTCCCAATCCCTGAGCATTCCCGATCCCTTCCCGGATCCCGCCCTTCTCCTGCTCCCCGGGTTATTTTTAGCCGCACGTTTTTCACCGTGCGCTTTCCCTGCTCCTCCGCTCGTAATTGCCGGTCCTGGCTGCTCCCGACGGGTCCCCGCCATCGTTTCGGGCACCAAATTAAAAGGAAATGYCGGGATATTCAACCACATCAAGCGCTCTGGAGACTAAAATAGGTTAAAAGGAGATGCGGGGAAGATGCTGTCCATGGAGAGCAGGAAAGAACGAGCTCYGGAGGATTTCAGAAGCGGGGAGGGATTTAGGAATTATCCCAAGAGCTGTGAAATGCATCCAGATTCCTGGTTTAACTCAGGATTGCCTCCTTCATCCTCCTGGGACAGACATTGGGAGTCACAGGATAAATTTTGGAGATGGGCACCCCCAGGCCAGCTGCTCCTGGATGGGACACAGCTTTGGCCTCATCCAGTGCAATCTCAGTGGCACAGGGGGAGTCCCAAGGATTTATTTGGGAAGCTTTTCCCATTAAAACACACGTGGGGTGTCCACACAGAGCACAGACACCTCAGCACAGGCTGAAATGGCTGCAAAATGAATCCAGGAGATGGAAAATCCTGATTCGGGTGTAACAGCGTGGGGGTGAGGGCAGGAGGGTGGCAGTGGGTGATGAATTCCCGGCGTGGAGGTGGACCTGCCCATCCCAGCTCCCAAAATYCGATTAAAGAGGCTGCACAGAGCTCCTACCCCACGCTAATGGCTCCTGGAATGGCCCGGGGTGCTGTGGCTGTTTCTGCTGAGGTGTTCTGCCTTCCTCTCTGGATTTTCCAGGAGGATGTTSGGCTGTGGGCAGAGCTTTGTCTGAAACAGCCCTGGGGGAGTCCRGAATTGTGGAATCACAGACTGCAATGGGTTGGAAGGAACCTCAAAGATCATCGGATTCCAATCCCTTTCCATGGGCTGGGACAGCTTTGAATAAACCAGGAGCCGGGACGGAAAGGGGGAAGAGTGTGCTGTGGTTCCCTGGGGGTCGGGAATGATGTGAACCTGTTCATCCCCTTCCCATCACGAACTTCTCTGCTCCATGGTTAAATCAGTGACTCAGGGCTGAGGAGAAATCCCAAAATCCATCCTTTGGGATTAAAAGTATAATATTGCCCTGAATCCTCCAGCAGGGGCACAGGAAGAGCTCAGGCGAGGTTTTATCCTCACTCGAGAGGAGCAGAAAGGACGGGAGGGGTGGAT